CAAGGCTCATGGAGGGGGGAAACGGTGTGAGTTTCCCGGGGGATGCGGAAAGGGTGCGGAAGGGAGCACTCCGTTTTGTAAAGCGCACGGTGGGGGGAAACGGTGTGCGTTTCCCGAGGGTTGCGGGAGGAGTGTTCATGGAGGGACGGCGTTTTGTGTGGGACATGGAGGGGGGAAGAGGTGCGCGGAGAATGGGTGCACCAAGAGCGCGAGGGGGAAGACGAGCCACTGCGTGAGGCATGGAGGGGGGAGGAGGTGCGCGTTTCCCGGGGGTTGTGGGAAGAGCGCGCAGGGGAGAACCGACCGGTGCAAGGCGCACGGCGGCGGGAAGTTGGGACTCTATGCGGCGCAGGTGCGTGGGAAGGATGATGAGGAGTCCACTTCGGTGGTACGCGTGGAGTTTGATGCCAAGGGGAATAATAATGATGTTGTTTTGGGGGATGGGGGATTGGAGGAATATTCCCTTCCGGAAGGGAGGGTGCACGGAGGGGGATTGATGGCGATGCTGAGAGGGGGTGCTGCGTGTGGTCGAGAGGGAAACCGATACAAAGGGTGAAGGATGATTTATGTTGTTGTGTCGTGTTTATTTTGGTTTTGTATCATGGATTATGTAATGGTTTGGAAGAAAACTGTCTTGTTGTATTATGCAGGTTAAGAGGGTGAAGGTGAGAAAGATGGGGTCTTCTACAGTCTGGTTGTCTAGGGTGTTCTTGTGTGAATATCTGTGATGATGAACATGATGGTTGTAAAGTATTACTTTAGTTGTGTTCCTATTCATGTTAAGGTGGCAGTTCATGTATCTGGTTATGAAGTTGGAAATTGGAAGTCTTTTATCATGGTTCTTGTTTATGAAGTTTGTTTTGGTTCTCGGGACAGATTTGGGTGGTCTATATTTTTGAAGGTGCCATTAATTATTATAACATTCATTTGGTTGGTTTTTACTTTTGAAGGTGCCATTATTATTATTATTATTATTATTACCTTTTTTTTTTTATTTATTATAAAAGTTGCCATCTATCATATATTCATTTGTTTTTACATATGCATATTCGAGCCGAGGAAAAAGAAAATGCAATATTAAAACAATTAAGACACGAGACAATGGGGTTTGTAATGATCAAGTATGTTCATATTTCTTCTCAACAGTCGAGATGTTTTACCTTCTGTCTATTTTAACTTCTTCAATTCTCCCCTAAAAATGAAAAAAAAAAAAGGCACATTGTTGAAATAGAGGAAAAGCAGCTACAACAAACAACGGGCAGCCAAAGAACATCAAGACGTGGATGTGACCCTGACCGAATGATCAGCCGAGCCAGTTAAGAAGATGGGCAAAGTTGGATGCCAATCTACCGTCGTGATGGGTCCACCGTGAGAAAGAGTTCTCAAGCCAGTCATTTCGCCTCGGACCTGATAGTAGTAAAATACGAAAAGAAGACGGAAAAAAGAAGAAAAATTGACTTAGACATCAGTAGTAAAAACCTATTGGAATACAGGTCAAGAATGTAAGAAGTATTTGTTTCAAGTTAACCTGGTATATTGGAGCTTGTAATGAACTAGAAGTCACGAGAAGCCTCTTTCCATTGACATCCAAAGCCATTTGATGTCTCCACTGATATGAATTCTCACTGTTGCAAAACCTATATCAAGTAAACAAGTCATCACAGTATTCATAAGAAACTAGCTACTGCATGGCATTCTATAAACATGTAGCAAGTAATTTCTTGTGTTAAAGTTAAACCCATGCAGATAGTAAAATTGCACGAATAACTTCATACCTGCTGCAATTTCGTGACCAAAGAATTTGTCCTTGATTGTGCAAGCTCCATTCAAATATCTGCGTATTCAAACTGTCCGATTAGACTCTCGAAAATTCCAGCAAAGGCAATTTAACTTGTGTTAATGTGCAAAGGGACACATATGATAATACACCAATATTAATGTCAAACGGCTAAAATTCAAGGATACTTGCATTTCCATCAGTTCCCAAGCTAAAAATGCTGGTCTCATCGGGCCCGAAAAGAATCGAGCTAATTGCAGAATCATGAGCAGGCCATCCTGTAACTTGCTGCCCAGCAGACATATCTTTCCCAAATTAAGGTGTACATAATTGCTATTTGCTAAATTTTATATCGAAATCTGCAAATAAAAGACTAATTTATGTTGATGAATATCAGCGTAAGGATACCAAACATATGAATCATTCCATCAGTTGCAGCAGCTGCTAACAGCTTGCCGTTGTGATTGAAACTCAATGAGGTTATTGCTGGTGGATCATTACCAAGAGGAAGGACTGTCTTCAAAAAGGTAAAAAAGTTGAGGACATAAAACTAATACTCGCAATGTAAAAGAGAAGAACAAAGCTATGCTTGAACATGCAAATTCATTAGTGAGACAGACACGCACCATAGACTTCCATGTCCTCATGTTCCATACTGTTAATGAAGCAAACCCCAAGCTATCAAAATAGCCGCTACCTTGCCTGTGAAGATCAGAAATGGCATTTACAATATGCAGGTAAAAAATTTGCTCAAGGACACCCCAAACTATAAAAAATGATAGGGTAGACAGTTATATATATATATAGAATGCTTGTGTGGCCGAGAGGTATGAATATAGGAAGTTACTTAAGTACCTCCTGGATGCTGCTGCAGAAACAAAAATAGGCTCCACGGGGCTACATTTCAGGTCCAATATGCTGATAATATACCATGAAATAAAAAGTAAGATATGGGCGATGAGTATTGCATTTTAATTTAACTATGCCCAAAAGAAGAGTTGAAACAGGACACTGATTAGCACCTAGGGTATGCTCCAGTTGAGTTGAGATCACAAACAACTCGCTTAGCATCTACATTCCACGCTTTAATGCCTCCATCAGAAGTTCCTATCAGTAGCTTTAGTCAAATAGACAATAGAATGAAACATCAAATGTCCAGTCTCCAGTAGAAAATTATCTCGGAATAGACTAAGAAATTGATTGATTCCTAGTATCCAGTTCTATATAACAAAATCAGTAACCCACCAAACGATCAGATTTGCAGTCCCACTCAAGAGACATAATCTCAGCTCCACAATAGATGGTGGCATTTCTAGACGTCGATGCTGATGAATCATAGGTCCATATCCTTCACCACAGCACACCAAATCAGTAAAAGAAATAAAAGCTATAAAGATTTTAAAATTAGATAAAAATTAATCAAAATTAGAAGGAGACAAATATGACAAGTGTAAAATGCAGCTGTGTTAGCGAGAAGGATAAGAAGCCCTTCCAAAACGCACTTCAGTTCATTATAAGAACCAATTTCGTGGAAAAATTGCTATAATTCTACTAAGAAACTTGTTCCCCTTCCACTTTTTTCTTGTTGCCCCATCCAGACAACAGAGGAAACAATAAAAATTGCCCATTGACTAAGGAGCACATTTGATATTTATCCTCTTGTTATCCCAGAACTCAGATGATTTGATTGGCTCTATTAAATTTCTATGTATCTTCATGGTAAGTAGACAGTATTTACCTGACCGTGCCATCGACAGAAGCACTAGCAATATTGTCGCCAGATGCAGAGAAGCGGCTACAACTGATTGGACTTGTGTGGCCCAGAAATGTATCCTGCAAAGGAAGATCGTGATGAACATCAAAGATTAATTTAGGGATAAAATGGAAAGGGAATAATTCTTGAGGAAATAGAAGTATAAAGGAATTGACCTGCCATACTGCTTTCACTTCTGGAAAATCATCTTCATTCTGAAAATCAGAATGTCTACCTGTAATGGAAAATCATAAATAACTTCAGCATCGAGGTGAAAACTAACAGCCACATCAAATTGTTGATCAGATAAACTCATAAATTGATCCCAACTACATACATCATATAGTTTTCAGGCTTCCAATAGCTAAACCCAATCATCATGACCAGAAAACCACAATACTTGATGCCAAGTATCTGCATAAAGGATTCAACAAACTCCAACAGCAACTTACCAACATCAGGGCCATCACAGCTTCTATCCTCATTAGCATTGTTATAAGAATTAAACCTCGAAAAATGGGATTCTGAAACTTGAGTATTCTCTGCAATCTGAAATGACACTTTTTCTTCTATTACTGATGTAGACTTCCAACGAGAAATACTAGGTGAAACAGTGGCTTGTGCTGCACCACTGAAGCAGTAAAAAATGAGTTGCTAATTAGAGAAGCATTTCCATTCCTTTTCAGTTGATACACACAAAAAACTCAAGCGGCAATCAAAAAATCAAGATTACCTCCTTGATAGACGCAGTAGTGCCTCTTTCTCCTCCAGTGAAGTTTGAACTTGTGATAACTTGTGAGTGAGTTGCTTAATCTCTTTCTTCAGATGGTTCACAGTATCCCTTTCAGAACTGATCTTCAATAAGGCTGGGATACGTGGACAAGCTAAGGAACAAAAAAAAAAAAAAAAAAACATATCCAAATCTTTTTGCAGCAATGAGAAGTTCACAAAAGATGATCATTCGATCAGGTTCAAGTAATTAGTTTTACACAATAGAATAATCTAAATTTGCAAATGTACACTTCTTTCCTCGTCCTCTATTTCAATCAGAAATTACTACTGAAAAACAAGGAAACATCCAAATTCTAGACAGAAGAGAAACACTAACTCTTCTAATGATTTAATCAACCATCAATACACAACAAAAAGAAAAAAAAATGCATTCATCTTCACAAGGATATGACTACCATCAAGAATCTCACTCAAGAAATTCCTAATAGAAAGGTGCAGGACACGAAACCAAGCCTCGGAAAAGTACACGCTAAACTGTGGATCCAAATGTGGGTTCTTCATATACGGAATTGCTGCAAAACACACACACACATACACACAAACAGGATCAGTTTCTAGTCGAGAAAATCAAAACATTCATTGGAAAACCCACGAACCAACTCACCAAACCAAGAGCTCCAACTTCCCTCTCTCAGCACCAAATCATTGCCAAAACTTCCGAAAAACTCCAACACCTTGTCCTTCCTTCCACATTTCAAGGCGTTAACGATGTAGTAACGCAGGATCGACTGTTCCAGTTTCGACAGCACATCAACCGCATTCGAATCCGGGTACGAGAAGCAGTTCTTAAAGAAGCCTAGGAGATCGATCAGCTTTTCCGATTCGAATTTGGGGATGTAATTGGAGAAGATTAGGTCTAAGATCTTGTCAACTTGAAATCCCCGGCCGATGTCGGTCGCTAGCTCTTTCTCGAAGGATTGAAGGGTGGTTGTAAACCCTCTGAATACGAGGAATTCTCGCACGAGCTCCTCTGCGAATTTCATCTTCTCCATTGCTGTTTTCCTCTCGCAGCTGCAAGAAGAGAGATGAAAGTGGAAATTAATCACTGACAGTTTACTGCTGAGTGCTGATAGAGTGTATATACCTAATTAAGGTTTAATTGCTACTTATAAATATGCAATTATTTTGGTAAGAAAATATAGTTGTCTCCCAGTGGAGTAAATTCGATGCTGGCGGTGTGGGCACTGCCTTCACCGCCCAAATGATGGACACGTGGCTTTTATATTTTTATTATTTGTTTTTTTCTTTTTTCTGCTAGAAAACTAGAAAATGTAACTATGGTTATCTACAAATTTTTTTATCCGCCAATTTATCCCGCCAGATCCATATCAAAAATTTTGAAATGAAAATTTTGAAAATATCACTGCCACTATATGTATCGTTTTCCCTTCCTCTTTGACCCTTCTTATTTATAATTTTTTCTTTTCTTTACTTCAACTCCNGGTTGAATTTTTAATGTATATATTTTTTTTTTTTAAATACTGAATGTATTAACAAAGCTCGGTTTTACCTATTCCTGTTGTGATTTGCAGGGCCAACTATGTCTTACAAAATTTTGGAGCAAAAATGAGGAAAATGATGGTGATTTGGGCTTACAACTTTTCAGTTTGGGCCATTGTGTAATATATTTTTTTGCTTATTGGGCTATGTTTTTGGCATATAATTCTTTTGTTTATTATGGGCTACAACATTTTCAGATTTGGGCTATTGTGTGATATATTGTTTTTGTTTATTGTGCTAAGTTTGTGCTTCTAACTTTATCTGATTTGGACTATGAATTGATATATTTTGACTATTGCTTGATTGGGCCAAATTTGTTTGGTAATTGCTTTGGATTAAATTGTATGATGAGTTTGTTTTTGGTATTTGGGTTGATACATAATATTTATTTTTTTCCCTTGGATTTATTCACCTCCACAATTGATATAACAAGGCAAATTACATAGCTACAATTGCTCCAAGTAAAAATTTTCATATGTACAACATAATAAATTTTATCAATTAAGGAGAGACCTCCATATAACTACTGCACGAAAATATTAAAGGAGAAACAAATTAGTTCTTCACTATTGGAGTTAGTTCTTCACTATTGGAGAAGCAACTTAATACTAATTTGAATGTAAAACAACCACCATAAATAAATTTCAAAATTACTCAAATAATACTTCAAAATAATCCAACTCTAATAAAACAATAACACATCATATTAGTACAAATATTTAGGTCCAAATCAAATTACTCATTAGTCGAAATTGCTACTACAAATAGAGAAGAAGTCCAATAATGCAAATTACGTAACAAGTGTTGCAAATAGTCCTAGATTATGAAATATTACAATGAGACATGCTCCATTCTCCAAATTTTAGTCCTGACTGTCATGAGATGAGCCCTGTTAAAAGACAAATACAAAAAGTGAATTTGAATCAATATTCTTTTATCCCCAACAAAATTAAATATCATCAAGATCAACCTATTCTTAAACCTGAGGTGAATGCGGAAACGGATATCCGAATAAATTCAATTGACCAGCAGCGCCTCCCTACAAAACAAATATATAATATATAAATACATGTCTTTTTTCATGTGTTTACCATTATATTTATATATATATATATATATATATTACCCCTTGAGTTGGATATTGCCAAGGTACTTGACTTGATCGGGACTGAGGTGAAAATTGTGGAACTTGGAATGGAAATTGATGTGGTGGAACATTCGGGAATTGGGGAAGCGGTATGTTGGGGAACTGAGGTAGCGGCATATTAGGAACTTGAGTTCGTTGGATACTATTCGATGGTTGTGAGCTTTGAATGCCTTGTGTACTTTAAACTTTTCTTTTCGGTCCCTTTTCACCTGAAAAGGAATAAATTCAATCAAGTTAGAAAAAAAAGAACATTGATTTTTTATTTGAAAGACAATTCAACATTATTTAGCTAAACAAAAAACTTACTTGAAGTATCCCCATGCACCTTCGAAATTCCTTTTCCCTTTTTCTTCTTTTTATCCCAATGACGAGTAATGCATGCATTAGTTAATCCTCTTGACTTGGCCGTAAGTGGATTACGTATTCGCACACTATGCTCATTACCATCATTTTCAACATCATCATGCATACCCGAATATTCAAGATCCAAATTTTGAATAAAATCAACAATTTGGTCTCTTGTTGAATCGAGTATTGTGTTCAACATGTTTCGTGCCTCCAAATGAGGTTTACTCATGTGAGCAAGATTATAGGCCGCTCTCATTACTTTGTTCACAAAGACAAGATTGGATTCTTCACCACTTCCACAAGAGACATTAGAAGCCTTAAAATCATTAAAAACCCTCAACCTCGCACATTTCATCCACCTCTTTAAAAGATAAGCCTCCGGTATCACAGTTACATCCATGTAGTTAAACACCATTAAAACATGCTTGCATAAGATTCCCATGGTCTCAAACTTATGACAACTACACCTTGTCTCATTAGTTTGAGTATTCATCAAAACATGCCTTATTCTTAAGCTATCACCGTGGGATTTCACTCGAAACTCTAGCGAAGAACCATCTTTACCATTACTAAAAGGTTGGCCATCAAATTTGCAATTCAAAGAATTAACAAGTTCAATCTCAAACAACCCATAAATAGTAAGCGTGTATACACTAGCAGCATGATTGAGCAATGGGTGGTTCTTAAGAATTTGAGAGGGTTTTCCATGACGACAACGAGTGTCTTCAACCTTCTCTTTTGTGCGCCACTGATTTTGAACTTTTTCATAATTCATTACGAACTCATACAAAGAGCTATTCTTGCTACCTGTCTCTTTTAAGACTTTATTTGCATTCTCACTCCTCGATGTAGCCAAAAGTCCGGCACTGAATAACTTGTTACTAAAAGCTGTAGCCCATTTTCTCCTAAGCTTGTACATGCCATTCAACCATTTATGATCATGCAAATGATATGAATCTACCATAAATTTCCAAGTGTTCTCAAACTCTTCCTCAGACTCGCAATGAGATATGCACTTATACCATAAATCCTTGAAGGATGAATTACCATTTAAATTCCCTAAGTGTGAAGGTGCATTTTGATTTATATGCCACTGACACAAACGATGATGAGAATTCGGGAAAACATTTTCTATTGCATTCATCATGGCTTGACATTGATCGGAAAATATTATTTGAGGTTGTTTACCATTCATTGAATCAAGAAATGTAGTGAACAACCATTCAAATGAACTTTGAGTTTCATCCGACATAAAAGCCAAGCCAAACAAAACATTATTCCGGTGGTGATTTATGCCAATAAATGGAGCACATATCAAATTATACTTATTTGTTCTATAAGTAGTGTCAATCGACATAACATCACCAAAGTACTCGTAGTCCACCGCACACCTATAATCCCTGAAGAAAAAATTCATCACCCGATCATCATCATTCAACTGCACATTCCAATAAAAGAAAGGTTCTGCATTTGCCTTGCTTATAAAATGTTGAAGTAATGCACTGGCATCCCCATTTTCAATTTTTGTATGCTTCTTTAATCTCCCAAAATGGTCATATGCATCCTTTCTAATAAAGCCTAAATTTTCAAGCCCATGTGCTTCATTCTCCATGTAAGAAACATCATTAGCAACAGATATTCCAGCATTCACCATTGCTTCTAAAGTTGATTTTTTGGCCTGAGAAATGTTACGAGCTGACCTTAGCAAATGAGTTTGGTCTGGAGCAAACATTTCATGATTATGTTCAACAACAAATTTACTCACTTGCCAATCTCCCCCTTTCGGCCTCGTAATCTTAAGTTGTGCTTTACATGAAGTTCTAGTTACCGGCTTTTGATAAACTGGTATTTTTTTACTAGAACGTTTTTCATCTTTTTCACCCGCACAAGAACAACTAAAGCTCTTCGACTGAATTTCACTACTACGGGGAAAACAACGTTGATCTCCTTTTCTAACGCTAAATCCTTTAGCATGTGCATATTGACAATAAAGCAAATAAGCATCTTCAATACTATTCACCATTGTACCCACAGCTAATTTACCCTCCAAAACATCAACCATATTATTTGAAGATTGTACCTCACAATGTGCAATGGGCATAAACTCCGACTCCTCCAATTCGGGATGCTCCAAATCAACACCAAAAAAGTCATCTGCTCCGAAATTGGCTCCATTCAAATCTTCATTTAAAAAGGATGAATTGATGTCCATGTTCCTACAATTTTCGCAGAAAAAAAAAATAAATAAAATAAACATCAGTTTCTTAAACAACTTAATTTAATTGATAAACTAATATTTACAAAGATTCATAGTGAAGGTGCATTTACATTAACAACAGAAACTTCAAAACACATAAAAAGGATTAATATTAACAAACATCCAAAAAGACTACAAAATTAAGAAAAAAGTACAGCAACAAAAACATACCCATAGCTACAACAAAAAAAATGACTGAATTTTTTTATTTTTGCTTGGAGATAATAAAAAATTGAAACTAGCAAGTACCTATTTCAGAAAACCGAGAGGATAAATTGGATGTTGGCAATCTCAATTTTGCGGGTGAGAAGTGGTGGTACCGAGCTAGTGAACGGGTCTCGGGCCGGAGTGGAGTCAAGCGTTGAGGGATGTCGCGGTAGTGACGGTGCGCCGGAGAGGTTTAAGGGTCGGCCGGGGTGATGACAGGCGGGCCCAACGCGGTTATGGGTCTCCGGCGACGGGGTGACGGGGCGCCGGAGTAGTGTGGGGAAGTGACGGTGTGATTAGGCGGGCCTGGCGGCGCAGAGGTGGTGACGGCGGGACGAGGCGAGGCCGTGATGAGTTGGGCGGGCGACGTAGAGGTGGTGACGGGAGAGGTGCAACGGCGCACAGAGCTCGGTGAAAAGAATTAGGGTAATTTTTATTTTATTTTAATTTTACTTTAATCATGCTTCAGTTTTCGTAATTGATGGTGTTAACCATAGTTTAGGTTAATTGGTTATATTAATATTTTTATCATAAAAAAATAAAAAAAAAATATTAAAAAAGAAGAGAAACACGTGTCATGATATTAGCATGTAAAGGCAGTGCCTTAACCTGTAGCGTCGAATTAACCTTCCCAGTGGTACAAATGAGCAGAGTTAAACTCAAATTCCTATAGTCTAGTTCGGGCTCGGCCTCGGCCTTTATCGAGTTGAGCTCAAAGTTAGTGAGCCCTTAAATATTAATATATAACAGGTTGGGTTCAATCCTAAACGAACTGAAATATAGAAAAATGTATAAAATATCCCTATTTTTGAATCTTAGCGTATTCATTAATTAGACGAGCTCGAGTTCAGCTTGTTTGATGAGTCATTCTCTAGCCTTAACGTGTTGAGTTCACGAGCCGCTCATTTATTTTTTACGTTTACATCCCCTTATTAATTAAAATTTTTTACATTTAGATCCCCTCATTAATTAAATGAACTCAAGTTCTACTCATTTGATAGTCGAGTCCTCACAAGCTACTTGTTTTTGTTTAATAGTTCTACCCATTATCACCCAAACACCTGTAAATTGGCCATATGAAAATTTTTGCTAATGTAAAACTGAATTCAAGATTTCTAGCTTCTAAAGTACATAATATTAGTGCAAAAATCTCAAAAATCTAAAGAAAAATAAAATTATAATACTAAAAAGATCTCAAATGTATAACATACTCATCTTCTATTCCATTCACTATTTCACCTAAAACCATAATACACCCGAGCTACCATCATGTTAACAAGCAACATGATCACAATTACAAGTGAATCATGACCAAAACACCCGATGAAATAGACAACGGAATAAGAGATTCTATTTACATAAAACCAAAAATGGAGGGGAAAAAATCAATTCTTGAATTATTATTATCATTATCTTGGTGACATTGTGGAGTAACTACAAGTAGCACGAGAAGAAGGATGATGAGTAGAGGTAGTGAACGAGCTAAAGTGATTGAAGTTGAACTCCCTCTTCATTGCCTTGTACACGTGGTCCAATCCTTCCTCAACCAAGTCCAACACCGTTTGAGGCATCGGCGGCACGTTAATCCCCTCGACCGACCCTTCCAACATCTTCACGACCTCACCCATCGTGGGCCGCATCACGATCTCGTCTTGTATGCACCAAAACGCGACTTTTAGTGCTCTGACGAGCTCCTCTTCCTCCACGGTCCCTTCAAGCCGCCTGTCGACAGCTTTCTCCGGTGTCCCGTTCGTCATTTCCTTGAGTTAAAAAAAAAAAAAGAAAAAACTAGATTAGTTTGATTGTGTCAAAGTTTTTGCTCAAGAACGAATCAAATCAGTCGATACTCAGATATGATCGAACGTGAAATGCTACTTCATTTCATGTACCGTAACTAAAAAACCGAGACGCGAAATTACCTTGAACGCCCACCCGGGGTAAAAAAAATCCTCCGCGTCGTAACTCATGTCGAGATTCCTCCTCCCGCCGATGATCTCCAACAGAAGCATCCCGTAACTGTAGACGTCTGCTTTTACGGTGATCGGGCGGTTACTAATCCACTCGGGAGCAAGGTAGCCTCTCGTTCCCCTCACCATAGTCACGACCTGCGAGGCCTCCCGGCCCATAAGCTTAGCGAGCCCGAAATCCGAAACTTTCGGGCAAAAATTCTCGTCCAACAAAATGTTCTCCGGCTTGATGTCGCAGTGTATTATCCTATCTCGGCACTGCTCGTGAAAATATGCTATCCCCTGCGCGGTCCCAATGGCGATGCGGAACCGAGTCGTCCAGTCGAGCACCCGGTCGTCGTGGGACCCTTTGTAAGTATACGGAGGGAATATCCACTTGTCCAAGGACCCGTTTTTCATGAACTCGTACACTAGAAGCCTGCAGACATAGATTGAATTCTGAATCTTAAGTTACCCGAACTACCCTCGACACGAAGTCGAAATCTCGTCATCTTTTTTTTTTCGAATTTACGAATATCAACCAAAGATCTTTACCTGTGTGAGCCCTCCGAGCAGTACCCGCAAAGGCGAACCAAGTTCATGTGATGCATGGAGCTAATCGTGTTCACCTCCGTAACAAATTCCCTCTCCCCGTGCGGCAAAATCCGGTCGAGCTTTTTCACCGCAATCAAAGTTCCATCACTCAAACATCCCTTGTACACACTCCCAAACCCACCTATGCCACAAAATCAATCTGAATCTTTTTTCCTTTGTCCAACAACAACAAAAAAAAAAAACATAAACATGACTAATTAATAAATAAATCATTACCAGTTCCAAGAAGCTGCGAAAAGCTACTCGTCTTCATCTGCAAATCCCGGTAGCTGAAACGAACCGGCACCCCAGACACAATCAACGAGCTCTCGAGCGCCCTCTTCAACTTCCTCCTCCGGTGTACATTAAAGTACAGCAAACAGAAAAGCAAACCAACCAAAACAGTCATGCTCAAAACAATCGGAAGCACTAAAACTTTCCCCTGTCTCGCGCTCAATCCTCCCGACGAACCTCCGCCACTACCCGGCTCGACTTTAACGAACAAAGTCGAGCCCGGATTCTCATAGCCCCCGAACTCCAACTCCCTCAACACCCAACAATACGCGTTCTCCTCATCCAACCCGTAAACCGACCCGACACACTCGCAATCCGACAAACACACGTCCCCGCATTTCGAGACCGTCTCCAAATCACTATAATTCGCTATAACCGAAGACTCCGAGTAATAGTAGCCCGTCTGCTGCACGGCCGCGATCTCGGAATTCGGCCCGCATTTTCCTATAAGAGGGCCCGGAAGGCCCGTGCAGGATGGGCTCGTCTGGGTCCGGTCCAAACGGCAAATCCCGTTCCCGCACGTCCCGGCGATGTCGCACGGGTTCGAGACGGCGGCCCACTCGGAAACCCACTGGCGGGCCCACTTGTAGAGTCGGAGGTTCCCGTTTTTCTCGAGGGTTAGTCTCCGGGGGACGGGCCCGGGCCCGGGCTCGGTCCGGTTGAGGGCGGTGGACCGGCTCTGGTTGTCGTTTTTGTACACGTAGACGGCCCCGTCGCCGGAGGGACCGTAGAGAATGCCGAAATTTCCGGCGGAGTCAAGGACGGCGACGACTTCGTCTCCGGTGATGTTGGAGATGTCGGGTCCGGACCAGTAGGTTAGGTTGGAGCCGGGCTCGGGGGAGTTGAAGGCGAGGGCGAGGCTCAAGGAGTTGGGCTGTTGGAGCATTTTGAGAGTGTAGGGGGAGGATTTGAGCTCGAGGGAGACGGTGAGGGGCTGGCCGGGGAGGAGGGTGTCGGAGGGGTGGGAGAAGGACTGCCAAGCGGGCTGGAGGCCCGGCCCGAAGAGGATGAAGTTGCCGTTTTCGGACATGGAGGCGGACTGGATGTCGAGGAGGGAGGTGTTGGACGACCAGGCGGTGGTGGCGGATGGGTGGCGGAGGACGAGGTCGCCGTCGGTTTGGAGCTCCACGGTGGCGCCGCGGGGGACTGGAGAGTTTCTATATTTAGATTATTTTTAGAGAAAAATGAATGTTTTGGTGACCAAGGATAAAGGGTATTATATAATTAGTCCTGACCATTTCATTTGACATATAAAATTGTGTATGCTTCTTTTTTTTACAAAACGCTTTTAAAGTACATTTAGTTAACAAACGAAGCTTGGCTCGAGTTTGGCTCGAGAATAGAGATTTTTATCTAGTTTTTTGTAGTTCAACATCGAATTTGCTCGAGTTGGACTCGTTAAATTGATAAAACAAATTGAGCCCGAGCTAAGCTCAGTCACCTTTACGTCTCACACTACAGTTCGTGTTCATTTACATGGCTTTGCTCTTAACTTAAAACACTTGCGAATAAGTGTAACCAACACAAAATCCCAAATTACGATGCTCAGTACGTATCATTAATCAACAATTAACCAAGCCATAGCACAGTAAAACGAGCAGTCGAAAAAAAAGTAAAAAACACTTACTTATCAGCCGACCAGACAAGGGTCCGATCTCCAGGAATCTGCGCGTACCACACGCCCAATCGAAACCGATCCTCCCCCGAGCTTACAGGGGCAAACCCGAAAGCGAATGACCCGTTATCAGAGACCCACGCCCGGTCCTCGCCCGCGTACAGCCTTGACCCGGGTACGATCCGGTCCGACAACACGGATCCGAATAATATAACACCCGACACCCAGATTAGAGAGAGGCCGAAAAACGGGTCCATGTTTTGTACACTACAGAGGTGTAGGTGTGATGTGTGTGGTTCATTTGTGAAGGGCGCGCATTATTTATGAGATGAAAATTGTTTTGTTTTACTTTTCGTTCTTTTTTTTTCTCTGGAATTAAAGATGCGTGGGAAATTGAAATGGAGGATGGGGACACGTGGACATTCGGTGGGTGAGCTACTACAGCGTTGAAAAAACGAGCACTTTTACGCTGTGGTCGGCCGGAGGAGATGATCGGACACTTCGACACGTGTTCTGTTTGAGCCTTTCAAACTCTGTTTTAAAAGGGTCGAGTTTGTTTTTTCTTAAAAATGTTTTTTCATATTTTCACACTTAGCTGGTTCGCTGTTGTCAAATTTACAATGTGAGTCCCCAAGGTTTTGGTTAATTATAAATCCGTGTTTTAACTACCATATCGATAGTCATACTGGTTTTGTCGCCGAGAGGTGGTATTACCTGATTCAATTTGTAACATCGTTTGTATTACCAGAGTAGTAAATATAATATTTTATATAAATTTTAATATTAAATATAATAGAAAATTTGTATAAATATATAATATAATAATAATATTTATTAGGTTTTAACTTCTCAATATAAGTATATTGATAATATTTTTTCATATTCGCATTAACTTATGGTGAATATTGGAATGATATATTGCCAAGTAAACTAAGATTAAATTTTTTATATTTTGGTTATATTGATACGTTTCCATATCAAATTATTTTTGATATTATTGTACATTTTCATTCTAGATTGTATTGATGCGTTATTTGAATTGAAATTATTCTTACTCAAAATTAAATATTCTATTTCCCTAAATTGAATATCATAAAATATGTTATGAATGTTTCAAAATAAAATATTTAGACCAAAATTACAAATTGTGTTAAATATTTTTTGGACGAAAATACGAATAGAATGTTACCAAAAATACAAATTATCATGGCATACTCACGTGTTATTACCAAATAAAACTTATCGAAATTATTCACCAAAAATCTAATCTCATTTTGAGAATCGAGTTTTCTATGTAATAGATAAGTATATTATTTTAAAAGTATAGTGAAAATCAAAATTGCCAAATTTTATGAGAAATGAGATCGTTCAACAAACAATTGGAAAAGATGAGCTAATAATTTTACCAAAAAAATTAATTTAAATTTTATTCACCAAATGATTGAAAAAGTGGCTAAGAAAAAGGAAAATGATAAGGTAACATTTATTTTTAAAATATTCACCTGTTTTTTTCCTAAAAAACAGTATATGAAATTCATTTGCTCATTTTTTTCCTAATCTCATATCTTTTTAAAAATATTTCTTATAATAGTAAGTCAAACATTTAATTAAAAGGTTAAAATTACTATTTATGTATTTTTCCAATAACTTTTTTATATTAGTATAGATTATTATTATTATTATTATTATTATTATTATTATTATTACTACTATCAATATTATATATGTTACTGGTATCATGTGGGATATTTTCAGTACAACTCTGTTACAATTCGATATTACAAAAATTCGGGACAAGAAAGATACAATAATACATAAGTTTGTTTGACACTTAATAAATAGCGGATTCATAAATGATAATAGAATGAGCTGAAAGGCGAATAGCTGGTTGAAGTATTAGTTTTGACATAGTAATTCAATTAATTAATTATATAAAGTGTTTGATTAATAATCAAATATTTAATATATAACAAATAATTAGTTTTACAATTCTCAAAGACTCAANACATACCTTTTATTATTATGAGTCACTAAATTAGTATGGTTTCAATTTCGCAAATCGACAAATTATGCCAATCATTTCGACATCACTAGTACTGTTGATCCCAACTAAAACTTATGTCCAGGAATTAAATAAAATGATCCCCACACCTGACCCACACACGAAGAAGAGTTTATTCATGATTGGTTGACTTTGTCAAAAAATTTAAATCAATTTTGATTATCTAGATTTTTTCAATACCTTTTAAGTTAAAATATAACTCAAATTTAATCAAATTCAAATATTCTCGATATTATAATATAGTAATATCAATTAATCATTCGCATATATCATATTAATTTTAATTACATCGACTCACATATTATTAACTACTTATTCTTTTCAATAATCTCTTTCATATTTTTACATTACACCAACTTTAATCATTAAATTTTAAAATATTATTTAAATACAAACTCAAAACTAATTAATTCACTTTAACTAATAAATTCAATCAAAAACTCATTTTATTTATATTCAATCACTCCTTTAATATTTAAGTGTGAGCTCGAGTTATTTTAAATGAGCCAATAAATAGGCTTGACTCGACTTATTTATCAAAATTAACAAGATGGACTAGATTCTTAACTAAACCAATTAAGCTAATACTTTAGAAAATTTTGTAACAATCATAATTTTCAAGTTTTAACGAAAGAATTCAATTTGTGTATTAAACGAGATAATTCATAAAATTGGGACACTTGTCTAATCATTGGAATTGAAGGGGACCAATATTTTTTATGGGACTATAATGAGATATGTATATATTTTGTACTGCCCACCAAACCCAAGTATAGATAATAGATTGGTCTACATATGACATCACGACACACGACTCATCGTTTGAATTTTAAGCCATAATCGCCATTAATATGATATTGAAACAAACCGGTTTCTACAAAAATTTTCATCAGTTTAAATGATTAATTGAAAACAATGTGAAAAATGTCAGTAATTTTGATTTTTATGAGATTAGTGAAGATTTGAGCGAGAAAAATTGAATTGCATGGATTAAATTATCTTTTAATTTTGTCGCTATCACCAATTTTCAAAAATAAAATGAGGTGATATACGGACAAATAATTAAGAAACTATTAAATATTATTACCCATTAAAACGTGATATTATTGCGTCAATCAACGTACAAAAATTTATTGTCTAAGACTTCTAGGTAACTAAACTGCTTATAATAAAGTCAAACATGCCATACAACAGTCGAGTTCGAGTGGGTTCAAATTCAANCGACTTTAAACTCTTCATGAACCAAAAATAATGTAATTTAAAAATTAATAATTAATAAATTAAAAACAAACTATTCATAGGTCTAAAATCCTCCCAGGCCAGGCCCATTGTTGGTTTAACTAAAACAAGTTTTGGGCTTCCTTTTTCATCACCTCTCGAGCCCAAACATCCATGCCGGCCCAGGCCCGTTTAAAACTTGTGCTACCATAATAAATTTCAACATATAATCATCTTCCTCTTAAAAATTTCCCTGATCTGTAAATTGCAATAGTACATTTGACCTAAATCATTTAACTGCTTCAACCTAAAACCATTATAAAGATTCATCTATCAACGGATGGGAAAACTGGATCCTAATGGAAGTGCCCTCACCAGCTTTTTGCCGTTAGATTACACATGTACAGTCACTATGTTCATCCAACGGTAGACACTATTTTTTTCAATGTATAATTGTTAAATTAAGATCATTTTATCTATGAGTGATTATCAAACTATATATTGTGGGTAGAAGAGAATTCCAATGGACCAATTGGATTTTTATCCATTTTTTGTTTTAAAATTTATTTATTTATTTATTTATTTTGTAGGGGGCCTCTTAATAGGTACATATTGATGCCTGCCTTTTCTGAGACAAGAAGGGCTGGCTTCTGGTATATTTGTTCTGCATTGTTTGTGAGCTTGATTTTTTTCTTCGGACACCAACCGTCTCGAAATTAAGGGGACGATTATTGGATATCTATATATATATAATAAGAATTAACATTTATCAAAATTAGTAAGTCAATTTTTAGTCAATGTCCGAATTGCATTAATTTTTTTCCAAAAACAGCAACTATTATGTCCTTTTCACACCTAATTTAATGTCCTTTTCACACGCATCAACAATTCATTAAATACACCAATTTGGGTCGAGAGATCTGATAACCAATTTCTTGGAATGACCGGATATTTGGATAGAGATAAATTAAGGAAACAATCAACGTGATAAGGTCGTAGTTCGTAACCACCTTTTTTGAATGAGCGGATATTTGGGTAGACAGAATTTAAAGAAACAAAATCGGTATTGTTTGAAAATTTTAAAACTCTTTTTTTTTTTTTAATATTAACCCTATCAATATTCAAAACGTGTAGTGTAAGTTTGTTATTCATTTCCTAAAACAAATGCAAGTGTTCAATATTTTATTAAAAGTAGACATAATTTAAGGTGATTATCTCTGCAAATCTTTACTGAACATTCGCATAAAATAGTAGTTCACGTTCTCATGGTGATTAACACGTTTTGAATTTTTGTATACAATCTCTACTTAGAATAAAAAAATATATAGTTTTTATTTGGTAGGACTCTTTTTGGTAACAAATTTTTTGGTAGGACTCTCATTACCAACACATACATATATAATAACAGCATAAGTCATTCACCGTATTACAAACGCACATAATCATTCAACAAAAAAAAAAAAAGTTTTTTGTACAATGGATCAAGCATTTGGTTTAATCGAAGATATTAATAGGAGCAAGATGCCTATGCTTAAAGTACGCATTGTGAGGATGTTTTATCAAGATAAGGGCAGCACATTCAAGTCGCATCTCGAGTTTATTTTGCATGATAAAACGGTAGGCATATGAATTCGATTTCATTATTCAAAACGGTAGGCATATAAATTCGATTTCATTATTCACTACAAAAATATATGAATGTATTCATATTTATTATTTACATATCATAAAGATTAGTTTATAATTTACCGTGTCAATTTATTTGTGAAGGGAAAACGCATTACAACGTGGTTACGTGCAGTCTACATGCCGGGCTTCAAAGAGAAGTCCATTGAGGAGGGCATAGTCATTCTTATACGAAACTACCAAGTTGATAGCAACCTTGGTATGTATAGATCTGCAACTGGAGAGTTTAAGATAATACTACATGGGGGCACTGTGTTTATGAAATGCAAAGACACTTTGTCTTTTCCTATGTTTCGATTTCTATTTAGAGATTTTGCAACTCTACAAGACGTCAACAAAATAGACGAGTCCATTTTATTCAGTAATATTACTTTATACTGTTGTGAATACTATTTGACGCACTAATAAATTTATATAAAATCTATATATATAATAAGAGTTAACATTTACCAAAAATAGTAGCAAAAAAATAGGTCAGAATTTAATGCAGCCTATATATAGTAAGTTTTATTACTTTTCTTATTTTTTTCTTTAAAAATCATACATCATTAAATTCTACCTTAAATTTCGGGCTTTAGTTCATTTTATTATTTAAAAAATCCGGCTAAGATTTATTAAGTGTGTATGTTTTTATTTTTATTCTTTAAATTGCA